TTGAGCCTATCTTTGTTTATATTTGTATATGTGTTATTGTGTTTATGTGTTATATTTTGTATATATGTTTGTTTGGATTTTCCTGGTTTTCAGGGTGCTTGGTGATTACTCATAAGTCCTATACCCGGACTTGGGAAAACTTTAAGATAGGATGGGCGGTATAGTCATGTTAACTTTGAGGGAGTAATCCCGAAAAAGGAGGCATGAGATCCCCCACTCAGTGGAGGCCCCTTTGACTGTAGTGTCGTTTACCGAGTAATCGGGAAGACGTACTGCTTTCGACCTGGGAGCCTGCTGAAACTGAGGACCGTAGAATACCAAACCCATCTTGGCCTTTTAGGTGTAGTGCAGAAGCTATGACGGAGTAATCTGGAAATAGTTGTCACGCGATACTATGCTCGGACGAGTCTTTCTTGAGAATATTACTAATTACCGAGTTAATCGGGAAGTTGGTAACATCCGAAGGAAGGATGTAGACTCTGGGAACCTCTAGAACCTTGTTCGACAGGTGATAACTTTTTAGACTAACACCTTATGGGTAGTACCTTCGACCTCATGCTCGTGACGTTGAACCTATGAACCCTATATGTGTGATATTGTGTATGATTGTTACATCATGCATTCATGCACTCATAAGCATCTTTTGAAGAAAACAATATTTCAAGGGATTTAAAGGTTGACTATTTGTGAATATCTCAGGTACTTTTAACCATGGATTCTGGAAAGAGAAAGACCGGGAAATACAGTTTCGAGGATCCTAAGATAGATGAGTTGGTCAGTCTAATTCCAAAGATCGAGTGTTCTGCAGACTTTCAGAAGAAGTATGGATCTATTATTCCTCTCATGAAGCTGAAGATGAAGGAGGGTATTCTCTCGACCTTGGTCCAGTTCTATGATCCAGTGTATCACTGCTTTACTTTTCCCGATTATCGGCTGATGCCTACACTGGAGGAGTATTCTTATCTATTGGATTTACCCGTTACCGATCGTGTTCCTTTTACTGGTTTGGAAGGTGATCCAAAACCACATGAGATTGCTTCTTTGATTCATCTGGGGAAGTCTGAGGTGGAAGCCCATATGACTACTAAAGGAGGGATTAGAGGATTATCAGCTCAGTTCTTATTAGAGAAAGCTCGTTACTTTGCCATAATGAAGAGTACAGTTGATTTTGAGGCCATCTTTGCTCTACTTGCTTACGGATTGTTCTTGTTTCCTAATATGGACAAGTTTGTTGACATTAACGTTATCAGGATTTTCATGATTGGAAACCCAGTTCCTACACTGTTGGGTGATGCTTATTACTCTGTTCATCTTCAGGATTCTTATCATGGGGGAATGATTATCTGTTGCACGCCTTTTATGTACCGGTCGTTGATCTCTCATATGCCTCAGTCTAATGTTTTTTGGGATGTCAAGAAGGAACCTCATTGGGCTCCTAAGATCATGGCACTTACTCACTCGGATATTGATTGGTATCAACGAGCTTACCAGGATGTGGATATTATTGACAGTTGTGGTAGTTTCCCCAATGTGCCTCTTCTTGGTACAAAGGGAGGAATTAACTATAACCATGTTCTTGCATGGCGACAGGTTGGTTATCCGATAAGGGATAAACCGAACAGTATTCATTTGAGTAGTTTCTTTCTGAAGGAAGGAGAAGACCACAGGGAAGTTAGGGAGCATATTACGAAGGCTTGGCGTCACATTCATAGAGGGGTTAGAGGGCTATTGAATCCGTGTTATGGCTTGCAAACAACTTCTTTATTTATAGAGAAAAGGTTTTAGAGCTTGAAGTAACCAGAATGAAGAGATCACATGTTATGGTTTTGAAACTTGGTTTTAAAGCAAGCTTGAAATACATTATTCAAATGCATAATACAAAGGTTCATAGGGTGGTTAGAGGCTCTATATATGTTTCTTCTGAGCATATATGTTGAGTGTGTGCAGAGGGATCAAGTGAGAGGCTCAAGAAGTTTACATTGTGTTTAAAGTCACTTTACAAGAATGGAAGTGGTGACTTTGTGCCAAAAATGGAAAATTGCTTTGGACAATGGCTCAAACACTTGGACAATGGGTCAATAAGTTGTGTAAACATTTAATTATTGAGTGATTTTCAAGTTATAAGCCTTCAAAGCAATATTTATGCAGCATGCTTGAAGATTGGATCATAAGGTTCATCATAAAATGACCTAAAATTCAAGTTTGGCTGCCCAACTTCTTCTCTTTGAATTTCCTAGCTCAAAAAAGATCTCTTCAAGTTCTTGGACATTTTGGAAAGATTGAAACATTTTCTACAACCTTCATGTTTACCACTTTGGCTAAATCAACTTGGAACTTTGTGAAAATTTTCCAAGAAGTTGGGACAAAAATCTGACAAAACTTGTTGAAAATTTCACTAAGTGTTTTGTTAAAAATGTCATGACTTCATGGGCCTATATCTCCAAATCTAAGCATTTTTTGGACGTCAACCCTCTAGGACCAAGTTGTAGAGTTCATCAAGATCTACAACTTTCATGTTGAAAGTTTTCCTTGAATCATCTTGCATCATGGTGAAAAATGGTCATGAATTAATGAAATTATCAAGGTTAAAAACACTTAGAATTTTTCTAAGTATTGGAAATTTTGTCTTTTGTTGACTTTTCTTGAATTTCTTGATTCTTGGTGATCAAGTTTGATATTTTTTGATGTCATGATGAATCTTGATCTTTGAAATTCAATGTTGACCAAAAAGACAAAGTTTAACTTTTGTGTGTCAGTTGACTTTTCATCAGTTGATTCAAATTTCAACTATCAATCACTTGAACTTTAAGGATGTTTTGAACCATGAAATTAGGTAAATATATTGTATTTGAATCCTTAATATCATTCTTCAAGCCATTGGGTCATGTATTAGGTCAAAAGTTAATGATTAGTCATTCTGAGACAAAACCCTAATTTTAACAATCTTGTCCCTTTAATGATTTCGTACTTTTCTTGAGGAATTATGATCAACCCTTGATCAATTGATGAATATGACTTCAAAATGTTGATGTTGGCCAAAAATCTTGAATTTTGACTATATATTTATCATATTTGACTGTTTACCTAATATAGTTGATTTCCAGTCATATGAGCAATTGACTGAGCAATTTTGAGATGCAAGACTTGAAACTTGGCATGAGTGTCCTTGGAGACCTATAATAAACCATGAAAGTTATTTGAGACATTAGAAGTTCAATTTTCCTTGTGAAAACCAAAACCCTAATTGGGACCCAATGTTTAGGAGGTGAGCTTGTCTGATCAACTCTTTGAGAATCCTTGAGCATTTGAGATCTTTTGTGAGAAATGTCTTGAAAAAAAGGGAGCGCAACTTTTGGGGTACAACACCAGTCATCCATAATGTCAAATAAATTGTTTTGATGTTTGGTAAATTTATCAAGAACTATAGTCATAATGATCCTCCTATTCAACTACTTTAAACCATTTCCAAAAACCTATTAGCATTTTCAGGGATGGAACCTTCGAGACTTTTTTCATTTTATATATGATATGATTTCTCGTAGACAGTCCCTTCCTTTCTACTGGATTTCGAATAGAAAAATGCTATTTTGTCGATGGATATCTAATCTAGGTCAAATCTATTAACTAAATTGGCTTATTCCTTTATATTCTAAAAAAATTCCCTAAGTCATGTCATGACTCGAAAATTGTCTTATGACTCATAAATCATATAAATAAATTTTTTAAAGAATTATTCCATAAACAAATGATCGATCACTTTTATTAATCTCGTTACTAGCAGATCCCCAAACATACTTCTATGCTTTTATCAAATAAGATTATTCTTGAATCCTGTTCGTGAAATAAAAACAAAATATTTTTCTATATTCTTCGAATTTGTATGTCTAAAAAATACTAAAGATCCTATTTTTACTTTCTATTTTACATTTATTTCTTTTATTGTCATCTTTATTCTATTTTTATTTCATTCAGATTAATCAAATTCCGATGTACACCCCTTATTGCGTATCGAGGTAAGAAATTTGAATCTTTTTCTCTATTTCTTATTTTCTCTATGTGCCATATTTATTAATATTCAAGGGAATCTTAATAATAATAATAATAATAACAATAATAATAATAATAATAATAATAATAATAATAATAATAATAGATTTTAAGTGAAAGTTTCGTCCATTAATTTCCTTAAAAATCACGTATGCATAGATATGAAAACAAAATGTTTGATACTCAAAGTCATGATTTTATGGATTTTTCTATGATTTTGATAGACAAATCTTCACGAAATAATAGAAATCAAATTTGATCTTTTCTTTTATTCGTAAAAAATATATTTTTAAGTCAAATGACTTGTATGTTGGACATAAGAATATAATAAGCCTTTCCACTTGAAGAGAGAAGTAGCAATTGATTCTTACGGAAAATAAGATTTTATCTGAAATATCGACAGATTCTTGCAGAATTAGAACCAAAAAGATATTAAAAAGAAAAAAAGATCCACCGTTAAAATTTCATTTTTATCCAATTTGAATATCAGAATAGTAGATATAGTTATGATTCAATAGCTTATATATATATTTTCTTTCTTTTTTTCTTTTTATGTATTTACCTTAAATATTTCTTTTTTATATATAATAAATACAAACGATGAATATTCAATGTTCAACATTATAAAAATAATTTCTTTAAATATTATTATATTTTGTGTCTTATAGTATCTACAAAATGGCACTTAAAAAGTTACCAAAAAAACTGTCAATTAAATTTTTTACCTTAAATATAAATTCATTTTTATATGAAAATATATATATGAAAATAATAATGTTGTATAATAAATACAAACGTTGAATACTCAATGTTCATCATTATAAAAATAATTTAACTTAAATATAAATTCATTTTTTCTTTTTCTATATTTACTTAACATGTTTTCTTTATAATGTCATTGTTAGTCTTGCATCAATAGCACCAAAATAAAGTACAAAGTAAAATTCTACCAAATGACTTTTTCTCAATCTCGATTTTGGTGGATTTTGTTGGTTGCTTTTGTTTTGCTTTCAGGTAATAAGAACGTGTTATTTTTATATCTTCCGTTTCATTTTTTTTAATATTAATTAACCATGAACATGTTATTTTGTGAAATCATAGTCTATTGGAATATTGAATACCTTAAACTTTATTTTTGTTGCAGGATTCACAAGCAGTGTTGATCCTCCAGGGTATAAGTGCACCTCTAACACATGCACAAGTGATCAAGAGTGCAATAATTATTGTACTTTCTTTCGCTATAAAAGTGGTTCATGTCTAGATCCCCAACCTAAGCGTTGTTGCTGTCGTACATAATGTAATTGTACTCTTAAATACATGTTAAGGAATAAAACGCATACGAAATGTTGAAAGGTTTCTAAAACCCAAATGTCTTCATTCGAAAATCTGAAATCTATCGATTCTTATTGAAGCTACTATTTGTTAGGTTTAAAAACAAGTATATACAAGTCATTTGTTAGGTTTTGAACTTTTAACGTTTTTTTACTTTGTAGTTGAGCATTTTTATTTCAATGAGTTATAGAGCTCAGAAGCTCAATATACATTTCAAAATTCTTAGTTATCCATTTCAAAAAGTTGAGTAAATTTACTCATGAATAAAGTGTATTGAAATTTTTAAAAATTTAAACTATTAAAATAATAATTAAATATAATAAAATAATATGTTATTAGTTGATTAATTGAAGGTATACTAACCAAATTTTATGATGGGTAAAGAAATAATCTCCTAATTTTAAAGACTTTTAAGTGTTTGTTATATGATTTTATCTTATTTCACCTATATGTTTAAATATTTGTATGTGTTTTTCTATGACACGTGTGAGTAGTTTTATTTTGATTTAGCACTATCATGATTGTTTAAATGATATACTCCCTCATTTAGGCTTTCAATTCAATGTCAATTAACGAGAAATTGTGTATTTGCTTTAGTTTTTTAATTAGCACTACGCTAAAAATGGTTTTTAATAGGGCACATTAGACAATACTTTTATACAAAAGCGCTGTTATAAGTGAATTTAAAAAAAAACACGGAAACTGTATACAATAATAAATAAAAGCGTTGCTAAAAATATGACCTTAGACAACGCTTTTAAAAAGCGTTGCTAAAAGTGTTGCTTTAGAAAGCGCTTTATTAAAAGCGCTGGTCAAGGACCACTTTAGACAGTGCTTTTAAATAGCGTTGTCTAAAGTCATATAAAATTAAAAAAAATTCTCAAAAGCGCTGCTAAAGAGCCACATTAGCCAGCACTTTTCAAAAGCGCTGCTAAAGGACCACATTAGCCAGCGCTTTCTAAAAAGCGCTGTCTAAAGGCATATAAATTAAAATTAAAAAATAGAATCAGACCCATTTCTCTTTTCACAGACTCGTTTCCCTCTCAGACTCACGAACGAAAACCCTTTCCCTCTCACAAATCGCCGTTGTCCAAGCTTCTTCCGCCACCGTCCAAACTCCTTCCACCATCGTCAAGTTCCGCCCTCCGTCCTTCGTCTGACCAGCCCTTTTCCTCCGTCCTCCACCGTCTCTCTCGGTTGTCCTCCACCCCGACCGACTCTTTCTCAAGATAGGTTCTTTCTTGAATATGAGTTTTACTAAAATTATGATAAATTAAAATGCTCAATATTGTTCTGTGTAAAATCAATTTGGAAAGTGTTTTTATTTGTTAGAGTGCATTAACATGACTAAGATCAAGCTAATAGAGAAGTTGTTTGTAGCATGATTCTTGTTAGCATAAGTTTATGACTGGTTTGTCGGATTCTATTTCTTTTATGGTGTAGATCATTATTTGACTGATTTGTGTAGTTCTGGGCAAAATACTATTGCTAAGAAGCTTTGTTGACATCCACAATTCAAAGGTAGTAACTTAATTATTGCCTCTTCTTCTTTGTTTCATATAAATGACTTATAATATAAGCAATTATATGATAAACGCGGAAATAAGTTGTTTAATCATATAGGGTGTTAGTCCTCTAAATTATTTCATCTCATTAGACATTCAATCATAGTAAATATCCAACTTTTCATGATTTTAATAGCATAACTACAACATAAGAACTAGTTACTTCACTATATATATATATATATATATATATATATATATATATATATATATATATATATATATATATATATATATATATATATATATATATATATATATATATATATATATATATATATATATATATATATATATAGTTAATTAGTACTAAATTTCTAGAAATAATCCATTTAAATCATACAAAATATTTCTAAAAGTTTGTATTAATCTTCTTATAGTGTATATACTATTTTCCCTATTTTGTTCATGTGCATTGACACCTAAATTCATTAGCCTCCTAAATGGACTGTTTTTGTTTGTTTGTTTTTGTTAGTGAAAGAGGTAATATATTAAAATATTTATGTTTATGTTTGTGTTTATGTTTAAGTTTATGTTTATGTTAATGTTTGTGTTTGTCATTTTATATATATTCAAATGATTATGGAATTTTATATTGGGTTTTTGTTTATGTTTATTACAGGTTAGATGGATATTAACAAGGATCACCCATATGATGATTCTGGGCATGATGGAAATAAGCCCGTTAATAAAACAGAAATAGAAATTAGACGAGGAATAACAATAATGAAGAGAATCATTCGAGATAGAGATCGAGGCATAAAGTATGATGTACATTGGAGTCAAGAAGGCCAACTAATGAGCCTAACGGTTCAACGTTGACGAGTTATCTTGGTTCGGTGGTAAGGAGAGAAATTCTAATAACTTGTGAAGATTGGAGAGCAATAGTGTTGGACGATGCTAAAGATAAAATATGGAGTGAGATACAGGTACCATATGTGATGTTATTTGTTTTTAATGATAATTATGTCTCTAAATTACTTATACTAACGCACTTTGTGTATGATTTTCATAGAGGTCGTTCAACATTGAGGATACCAGGAGAGATTGTATACTCAAATTGACCGGAAAATTATATAGAGGGTTTAGAGATTTTTTATCAAACAAGTTTCTTAGGGATGCGGATAAATTTTTTGTTGATGCAGAGCTTCCAAATAAATATAAAGATTTGATTACACCTGAAGAATGGAAAACTTTTAAATCCAAAAGAAAAATCCAGAAATTTGAGAGTTTAAGTGTCGTAAATCGACAACGAGCATCAAGTCCCGCATATCCATATAGAAAAGAGCGTATGGGATATGCACACTTACAACAATCTATTGTAAGTATCTATAAATTGCAACGTATCTATAATATATGCACTCTTATATTTGATCATGTTATTTGGCTTATGTGTAGTTAACAAAGGAGAACAATTCTGAAACATCTCTTCTGGAACATGTTTTGTAGAAGGAAGCCCCTGCGTGTAAGGATGGAGTTGTTCAAGAAAATGTTCAACAAATTTTCGAGAGATGTGTAAGTAAAACATTATTTATTTAATTATATAATTATTTTATTTATTTAATTACATCATTCTTTTATTAACATATCATTCTTTAATTACAATATTCATATAAATTTCGGGAGACTCTTTCTCAGTCTATATCTCCAGATGAAGATAATGATTGCAGGAGAATACTTAGTCGAGTATTAGATATTCGTGAGTATTCTGGTCGGGTGAGGGGAAAGAGATTTGGGATCACTCCAACATCCTTGAAGAAAAAATCAAAGACAAAATCTCCTAGCAATAAAGAACTTCAGGAAAAGTTGGAAAAGTTACAACAAGAAGTTTATGAACTGAGAAAGGAAAAAGAAATAGATCAAGCTAAAAGTTTTAAAGATACTAGTGACAAAGGTAGTATCAATGATAATTTTGGACCGAATATTCCCGAGGTAATTATATACCATATTTATTAATTATATAACCATATTTATTAATGGTTATAGGGAATTTCCCGTGTCAACTCTATTTGTCATTACTGACTTATCAGATGGTTGGTAAGGGAAAAGTGTATAATACTACGGGAGAAATGCTTCACCATAAACCGCTCTCAAATGGATTTTTGAAAGTATCAGTTGATGTTGTTTTAGAGGGGGGTGCATTGTTACCATTACCTGACGATGTGGCAGATGCAACATTGGTGGCAGATACAATATGATCATTTGTTGCATGGCCATCAAATCTCATTTGCGTAGATGATGAGGTATGCTTAAAACTGTTTACTATTCAAATTTTTTTAAGGCAATTTTACTTACATTTTGTTTACATGGTAATGTTAGACTCCAACAAAATCCATTCCAAAAGATAAGGGGATTAGGCGGGAAACCGAGTCAGTTGTATCAATCGAGGTACAACATAATTATATGAAATTTATGCTATGAGAAATGCTAATTTGTGATTTTATACTTCCCCTAACTAACTATATGATAATTAGATTCATGCTAAAAAGATTGCACAAGTCAGCAGGGGTAAGGCTCCTGAAATTAGCAATATTTCCATACAAAAAAATGTTGCTAAGAAGACTGTGGCTAGAAAAAAAACTACTGCTCAGTTCAGGTCGTGCCTTCAGACATATTTAGGAATAACAAATATTTTGGATGGTGGTACCCACCTTATACCTATGAGTGCAGACATCTTTGGTTTTGAATACCTGGAAGCAATTGGTAGAGAGGATATGGAGCAAGGTTTTAGACATTTGGAATTAGGCCTCGGTGTTATCGGTATATATATTAGGTATACTCCGATCAACTTTGTTTAATTAGATGAACAATTTATTTCCTCATTTTAATAAATATAGTATAATGTTAATGATGTGTTAATTTAAGGTTTTTGTATGACAATATTTTGCGCCCGCGTGGATTAGAAGCAAGATTTGGCTTCTTAGCTCCCAACAATGTTAATTTAGGGTTAATCGTAACTAGACCATATGATGTCATATCATATGTACTCGATTTATTCATGGCCAACAAAGATACTAAAAAGTTGTTCTTTTTGCCATATAATACTGGCAATGGGTTAGATTTTTATCCTAACTTGATCTATTATAATTTTCCATTTTTGGCCATTGTTTAATCTTTGCTTAATCTTATAGTGGACACTGGTTATTGGTTGCGATTAATCCTGTAAGAGATACTGTGTATTATCTGGATTCGTTATACAATAATTGATCAACATATCCAGTTTTGAAGAAGATAATTGACACGTAAGTTTTTCGCTCCCAAAGATATATATCAGGATTTGTGTTTATGTTTATGTTTCTATGTGAGATTGTTCTAAACAATCGTTTATATTATAGTGTTCTACTAGATTTTCACTCCCAAAGAGATATTCAAGTGCCAACAAGTAGAGCCAACAACGTT